TTACTCAGCATGGCGTGAGAGTTAGCAGTGTCTTTTTTTTCCCATTTTCCTAATCAGGGTAGACCTCTTCTTTAAAACGAAAGACACCCTTGCTCTCCCTAAATCAAGTCTCTGCTGTCAGGCCAGCTGCCCTCCAAGGTTTCTGCAGGGTATTTATAACATGAGGGAAATACACAAAAAGGAACATGTTTAATTAAGAGTTTTGCGTGTTTCAGTGTTGTACATCATATGGTTCAATTTAGGTTCTCTGAAATATCAGAGTTAGAATGAAATTATCAAAAAGGGAAAAGTCACATGGCTGTATTGCAAACAAGATGTGCCTATTTGTATTTATGTTTGCTAATGAGATTCAGCCATGATTTCCACTTTGATTTTAAGACTTTAGACCACCATTCTGCTTTCTTCATTATAATTAAATCTCTTGCCCACACGCAGACACAGGGAAGCAAAGAAAAGGGGCATATTTTATCTTTTAAGAAGTTGTTGCCTAGCTTTGATATGAAGTTCCAGAGCTTCAAAGAGTATTAAAGCAAAGCAGCATGTCTCTCATGGGCACAGTCATCTCCTCCGGCAATTAGAGGAGCTAGGAGAGGGCTTACAGGCTGAGTCAAGGAACCCACAGAGGGCAGAGCTGAGTTCCAGTGTGTAAATGGAGGCTGTGGAATTTGAGCAACTAACCAGGTTTAAATCACAGAGAGGTTTTCTACCTCTCTTCTGGCAGTGAAGCTGCCACCAGAGAGGTAGGAAAAGGCCAGCTAACAAGCTCTACTGAGTCTTCCTATAAAGCTTTTATGTAGGATGGGACAGATGAAGGATTAATTGAGTTGACTATGAGACAGCATTTGTACATGAAATTCAGAAAGGTACTGCTTTCTCATTCCCAGCTCAATGTAGTATTTCAGTAAGTCAGATGTTTATTAAGTCAGGGCTAGTGCAGGTGTTTTGCTCTCAGTTTACTCTGCTGCTCCCTCCCACCCTCCCAGCAGAGCCAAATAGGGCTGTACAATCTTTCCTTCTGCCCACCTTACCCATACGGAGAGTGGAAGAGCTCCTGATTAGTCTAAGAGCTTGGTTACTTGTGGGAAACGAAGGAGGCTCCTGTGGCCCCCAAATCATCCAAAATACATCTTAATTAGGAGTTAATGGTATTTAGGGAGAGGGTGACTATATGCTCCAAATCTTTTTATTGACCCTTTTATTGCTGGATTTGACCCAAATTGGCCAACTCCAAACAGATCCAGACAGGCAACATTGTTTGCTCAACCCTAAATCACACTGAACGCACAGCCTTGGTGAGACTTCAACAGAAACACAGTGCGCCGCCTCCTTATAGGCCCTGATGGTAGTCCACTTGCCATAGAACCTTTCAGTAAACATCTTAATTATCTTGATATTTTTTCAGTTTATTAAAGTTACTATCTGGGCATTCAAAGAAGAAAATGAGAAGAGAACATAGTCATTTTTGTCTATAGTTAATGCTTTATCTGCCTCCTGGCACAAGTATTAAACTCAGTAAATAGTGTTGGACTTAAAACTACAAGGTAAGCTTTCTGGCATATTTTTCATCTTTTGATTAAAATAAATATTAATCTTTTGCTCTTTGTTATTGTTTTTATTTTGGTTTGGTTTTGAGATGGGGTCTTGCATGCTGCCCAAACTGGCCTCAAACTCCTTGGCTAAGTCATCTACCTGCCTCAGCCTCTATAGTGCCTACATTTACAGCCATGAGCCACCATACCTATCTCTGTTCTGCTGCTTTTTGTTGTTGTTGTTGGTGGTGGTGGTGGTGGTCATCGTCATGGGGCTTTAACTCTGGGCCTGGGCACTCTCCCTGCGCTCTTCAGCTCAAGACAAGTGCTCTACCACATGAGCCACAGCACCACTTCTGGTTTTCTGGTGTTAATTGGAGCTAAGAGTCTCACGGACTTTCCTGCCCAGGCTGGCTTTGAACCATGATCCTCAGGTCTCAGCCCCCTGAGTAGCTAGGATTACAGGCCTGAGCCACCAGCACCTGGCTTCTGTTCTGCTTCTTAATTTTAGTTTGTATTCATTCCTTAAAAAATACCAATTGATGATGACCCATTAAAAAAAAAAAATAGAAGTGAGCCAATTTGGGAATTAAAGAGTTTCTCAAGCCTGTCCATTCACAGATACAAAAAAAAAAAAAAGCACCTGTTTTTGCTATATTGCACAGATATGGGTATGTTGTTTTTTTTGTTTGTTTGTTTGTTTTTTTTTTGGTCTGCTCGTGGGGCCTGAACTCTGGACTTGGGCACTGTCCCTCAGCTCTTCAGCTCAAGGCTAGCGCTCTACCACTTGAGCCACAGTGCCACTTCCAGCTTTTTTTTTCTTTTTGCTTATTGTGTGCTGAGGAATTGAACCCAGGGCCTCATGCATGCAAGGCAAGCGCTCTACCACCTTCCCAGCCCCCTGTTGTATTATTATGTTCACTTATTTCTAGAATTTTTTCTCTTTTCAGTTACCCATTGAACTTTACAAACATTTTCTTTTTTTTTTTTAATTGTGAAAATACCATACAGAGGGGTTACAATTACGTGGGCAAGATAACTAGTACATTTCTTATCAAGCATTTTTGCCATTTTTTACTTCCATTCTTGTTGTTAACTTCTAGTTTTATTCTGTTGTGATCTGAGAAGATACATAATATGATTTTAATTTTTTTCAGTTTATTGAGACTTGATTAACATATGACCTAATGATATGACCTGCCCTGAACAATGTCCTGTGTGCTAATGAGAAGAATTTGTATTTTGCTCAATATAATGTTTTAGAATATGGTTCAACTCAAGTGTTTCTTCATTGATGTTCTATCTAATCTGTCCATTGAGGAAAGTGGGCATTGAAGTCTCCAACTATTTCTGTATTAGTCTCTGTCTCTGTAGTATTATAAAAATTTGGGTGGTCATATTGTATGTGTATACATATATATATTTATAGTTGTTAAATCTTCTACAAATGTAGTACTGAAGGGGAAGTTTGTAGCATATTAATGCATGTATCAAAACAACAGAAAGATCTCAAATAACTCCACTATGTACCTCAAGGATTCAGCAAGACAATAACAAACTAAATCCCAAATTAGCAGGAAAAAAAATAACAAAGATCAGAGCATAAATAAAATCAGAACAAAAAAAAATACAAAAGATCATCAAAGAGTTGGATTTTAGGAGGATTAAATTGAAAAATCTTTAAATAGACTGACCAAGAAAAAAGAAAGGACCCAAACAAAAATCAGGTGGCAACAGAGATATTACAGGTGGTATCACAAAAATATGAGGGATCATAAAAAGTTACTGTGACAGTTACATGCTGAACAATTGGAAAAGTGAGAAGAAAGGGGCAAATTCCTGAACACATAAAACTTCTCAAACTTTAAAAACACCATTTATAGTTTCTAGGGTTTTTTTTTTTAATTTAGAATTTAGCTAGCTTCTCGTTTTTGGTGTATGCTTATCCATTCAGGTCAAATTATGATCTATACCAGAATGTAGTCTGTCTAGATAAGCAGGTCATATCCTACCCACAGAACTGGGTGTCCGTATTGTACATGTTCAGTAATTGGTACTGAGCCTTGGTACTATTGCATTGTTAGCCACTTTTGTGGAGCTGTGGGAATGGATGATACCTTTTCCAGGTACTATGAGATAAGCACAAATGGTCCCAGAGCTTTTGGTACAAGCAGTGATGGTCCTAAGTTTATGGAGTGTGGGGGAGATCTGTCATCCTCGTGCTGCAGGACATGGATTGGTATGTGTCTGGGCACATATAACAAGCTTGGGGGGGGAGGACATTTGTGTCACTAATGTGACAGCAGTCCTGCAGCTTCAGAACCTGGACAGGACCCTCCCATTGTCCCAAGGATAGGTTGGCTAATGCTGGAGTTTTTTGCACTAAAAGCTGCAGTCACAAAGATGTGGGCTAGGACCTTCCGTGGCTCCCGTCGGTTGTAAAGACTCCAGAATGGCAGGTTATTAACTCCAGACAGGATGGGTCTTTAGGGTGGAATTTTTATCATTTTCTCTATTTTTCTGAAAATCGATTACAGAAAAACAAATTGAAGATTATGAAGTATCTAAATGTGGCTGTTAGCAGTTTAAATCATGTAAAATATGCCCATAAAGGGAAACTTTTATTCCTAAATTCTAGATTTTAGTTCTGTTCCACTTCTGTGCAAAATAAAGATCCAGGATAAGTCACAAGAATCCCTGTATTTTCTTGGTCCGCCAACTCTTAAGTGCAAAATCTCTAACTTGGGGTGAAAACCAATTCTCCTTTGACATCATCATCTTAGGAGGAGAGATTTTCAGAATTGGCTCCCGTAGCTTCCTGCTCAAGACATCAAGGACTGGGAAGACCGTAGCAAGTCAGCAATTTATAGGCTGTTCAGATACTTAGCAATGATTCTGGAGCATGTTGAATGGAGAACACATGTTTATAAAAGAGGAGCAGGTTCAGCACAGCACCTCTTTGGTGTAACCACCCAATCAAATAACAAAATGAGATGTCTTATTCTGCTTATTTCCCACTTCCCCAAAAGTAGACTAACCACTTGTTAACCACAGTAACTTCTTTTGTGTGTCTTGGTCCTGAGGCTTGAACTCAGGACTTAGGCACTGTCCCTGAACTTTTGTGTTCAAGGCTAGCACTTGACCACTTGAGCCACAGCTCTACTTTCAGCTTTTTGGTGATTAATTAGAGATAAGAGTCTCAATGACTTCCCTGCTGGGGCTGGCTTTGAACTGCGATCCTCAGATCTCAGCCTCCTGCGTAGCTAGCATTACAGGTGTGAGCCACCGGCGCCTGGCTCCACAGTCACTTTTTAATAGAGCAGTTGCTGTAGCTTTATCACCAGAAATGTTCCTAGTAAGTACCATATTAGCTTGTAGCCAGCAGTCTGCAACACAGGAAAAAAGCTTTTGCCTCTTTTCCTGGTGTAACTGGACGTGATAATTCACTGCAGCTCCCTTTCTCTTTGACAGAGTGCCTACCGCAGGAATGGGATGGCGTTTTTGGCCTGCTGATGTGCCTGGAACTGCCTACGGGAACAAGAAAGGCAATGTGACACTGAGGTGACTTCCACTCCTTGCACAAAATAAAATTTAAGTTCACCTGCAGGGCCCATCCCCTGCTTTGTTTTGACTGTCAGCAGGGCTGACTCCTGCTTTTGTCCAGCCCTTCAGCGCTGAGTCTTGTTTACTAGAGGAGCTATTCGGCTAATTAATGACAGGATGTTTGGGGTAACATGTAGGTGGACAAAAACACAGATCACACAGTTTTGAAATATTCGTTTGGCATGGGTTTGCTGCCCTGGGCTCCCAGATCTTGAAAGCAGTGTCTTTTATCCCCCAGTGTTTAGTCTGTGTTTTACTTGATACATTTTATAATCCAGGCTTGAGACAAAGGAGACAAAATTAAAAGGGTCGTCTGTCTTCTCCTCCCACTGTCCCGCTCACTTTACTCTGAACACATGTTGACTATGAGGATTTTAGAGACAAATATTCATTTCATAAACTAACTGTCATCTAAGATCCAACTGTCCTGAGGAACCGACTGTTCCCTTCTTACAATATATGTATCATTTTCACCATCTTCCCCCACTTCCTGTCCTACTCCTCTGGTGTGTTTGTCCTCACACAGAACCTCCATCTTCATTTTCCTCTTGCCAGGATCCTCTTCTCCCAGGCCCACTCACTCCACCCCTGCAGAAGCAGTCAGAATGGAGCAGCCTGTACTTCTTCCCTACTCTGTTCCCACCCTAGCCTGGAAGGGGGGTGGGGGGTAGGGGTGGAGGGGGTAGCGGCGCTGTGCTGCTGTTTGCAGGGACATCGAAGCTGCCCTACCAGAATCTATACGTCTTCTACTAAATGAGAATCTTGGGAACAAACCAGAATTCAGCAGACATAATTGTACAGTTCCTTATTAAATATGAACTGCAAAGAAGAAAGTTATTTCTTTAATTCTGTGAGAAATGTATGTAGTTTAGGCTTGAGACACACTAACACAGCCTTTGTAAATAATTAATGAAAACAGAAATAAGGAACTTGTAAGGTTTTTTCTTATGACCCAGTTTCTGTGAGTATGTCATGTTACTCACATTTGTTCTGTGTGATTTTACCTGTTCTCTGGTAATCCTTTTGGAAGAAAAACTGCATGTCAGAAACAAAAAAGACAAATTTACATCATCAAAAATTACCATAGTGTTTTAATGTCCCACCCATGCTTAACGTGTGATCAAACTTTTCTTTTTATCATCTTACTTATTGCTTAGAGTCCCTAACAATGGAAAATTATAAGCCTACAATATACATTCTAACTTTTGAAACAACATATATTGTATTTGGTTTCAATCTGCCAGACTTATAGGAGGTATAAAATTTTCAGGGACTAATTTTTCATGTTGAAATTCCTTCTCTCTCCCACATTATATATTTTTAAATGTGCAGAGCAGAAAATAGAGGGTTTAATTTTTTTTTCTTCATTTTATTCTACCTGATCTCCTTATAGTCCCAAAGAAGGAAGACTCAATGTACATTTCTCTCAGAAATATGACAGCTCTGTATTTTTGTTGGTCTGGTGTATGTTTGTCTATCATGAACAGTCTGACAGGTAATTATTTATAAAATCTGGTTTTGCCCGGCAAGTTCATATAATAACCTTTCACTTTTCATCATAAGCCAGAGAGCTGAATTTAGAATTAAACAAGGTCATTTATGTGTGTCCTGAATCAGTCTAGATGTGTCCATAATTGCTCAATATTAATATTTTTAATTTTTTTTCTTTTCTACACTTAACTTCTTTCTCTTAGTCTTTCCACAAGATTAAATTTGAAGTGAAATAAAACTTTCTTAAGCAGTGAATATAGAAGTAAAATTTATAGAAGGAAAGCTTCAGAAAATGTCTAGTAAACTCTCTCAAGGTGAAATGTCATATGGAATCATAGAGCAGATGATGATCTTAGAGGTCACAGACAACAGCTACTCCTTTTACAGATGCTACCACTTGGCCTGGATGGAGAAGGTGGTTTCCACCCATCGCTTAGCAATGGCAGTGGCAGGCCAGAGATGAGATTCCATGGTCCCTAATTTTAATCTATGTTAACATATCTGGATTTAGAAAAGACCAGGATACATTGGAGTTTTATAGCATATTTATCCCAGACAATAATGTCAGTTTATGAAAAATGATAACTAATTATGACATATCCTAACACATAAATGTTAACATTGAAATCATCACAGGGACTTTGGTATTACTTAAATGATCTCTTTTTTCTCACATACCAGGCTCAACTCTAAGTCACACACTACACAATGCTAAATTCTGGATTTGGCCCTTATGCTATAGAGATCTAATTTGAACTTTAAACATTTTTTAACCTGTCTTCTTAAAAATTGATATTGTCTCTAAATTAGAAGTAAAGGAAATAGAATTATTTCTCTCTTCATCTCCATTGGGGAGTGTGACTTCTGAACATGCCATTTAGGGTTTGTCATTAGCCTTTCCGCCTTCACATGCCATACTGGCTGAGGTTCAGAAATCATATTCCAGTTTTAAACCAACTATTTTTACTCAAAATCCATCAGAAACACAAATATTTTTAAAGATATATATAGTTCCTGTATCTGAGAATTCCCCATTTATTACCGCTGTTTGTTTTTATAAAATAATAAACAACCCACATTAATGCTTTTACCACATAGAAGACAAATAAGCACACTGGTGGATTCTGGTAGGACAGAAAACAAGTTTACTAGTCTAAAAATTACGGAGTTTAATTTGATGATATTTTTCATATCATCCCCAAATCAGGCATACTTTCCAGTTCACGTAACCCCTTTATAAAACTAAATAACTACAGAGAATATCCTCTCTCATCTGTCCTCCTGGAATTTAGATAGAACCTTCCCAGGTTGCATTTAACATTCTACCATCAACCATGTATACATCTCATAAAATATTTTATAGTTTCCTGTATGTTCTGGCTGAACATTTCATAGTACATAAACACTTCGGCAAATAATCTCAGGGCAACAAGTTGAATATGCCATAGCAGTATACCCCCGCAACTCTCATAAAGCTAATTCTCCAGCAATGTATTTTCTTATTTTTAATCTTCTTCTTTGAAATCCAATATGCAGTTTCTTGTGCTGCTGTACAGTGGCGGGGTGGAGAAGAGCGGGGCAGTCTAGCAGTTTCTGTGGAATTGTGTTCATTAAAGCAGAGGCTTTCTACTGAGGGCACCACGCCAAGCTTCAACAACAAACCCGTGCCTGCGGGAATTGGATGTAAATGTGATGGTTAAATAAGGGCCAGATGCCTTCAAAAACTCAAATATTAAAATGTCATATCTCTTCAACTAAGTCTCAAGTGTCCTGAGGAGAATGATACCATGGCTCTTAAATAAAAAAGAGAGGGAGACTTGTATTTGTTTTCTGGAACACAATATCAAGTATTCAAGCTGTCGTAAGTCATGGAAATTTTGGCAATTGAAGCATACTTTAAAACAGTCAATTCCCACAAAGGCACAAGAAACCCACATACAATAGTGCATTGTTAGAAGCTACTGTAATCCAGCCTACAGCATCATATTCATGATCTCTTTTCTGCTCATCGCCACCCTGCATTCATTATTCTCACTCGATTCCAAAAGGAAAATAAAAGTTTCAAAAAAATTTATAGAAGCCGGGTGCCAGTGGCTCACACCTGTAATCCTAGCTACTCAGGAAGCTGAGATGTGAGGATCATGGTTCAAAGCCAGCCTGGGTAGGAAAGTCCCTGAAACTCTTATCTCCAATAAACCACCAGAAAACCTCAAGTGGTAGAGCACTCGCCTTGAGCTAAAGAGCTGAGGGACAGGGCTCAGGCCCAGAGTTCAAGCCCCATGACCGACAAAAAAAAAAAAAAGAATGAAAATGACCAAAATGTAGTTTTATGTACCAAGGAACACCCACCCTACTTACTGTCCAAACTTATGCCATATCCGCACTGCAGTAAGTTCAGCATCATTGCTACAAGCCATTGTGGGCTCCTCATGCCCTGTGTCTGTCTCATCATGCAAGGCTCCCAACCCCTTAGGCCATCCTCAGGTTAGACGCCTTCTGCAGAGTAACATATGAAGGATCTGGTATTCAGACCCAGTTCTCTGATCCTTTGTTCCACAGTGTGGACAAAAGGCTTCTGAGAACAGAACTGAGAACAGTTCTGAAGGGAACTGTTTTGTAGCCCTCAGTCTAGAAACACAGTACCAAAAAACTTGATTACAAGACATTTTCATTTTAACTCAAATTCCTTTCCTAATGCCAAGTATTATGTATACAGTATAATAGAATATAATTATACAGAGCCATGCCAACTCCTTTAGTGTCTTAAACCAAAAGATAAATACATGTGATCAATGAACATATTAATCTGTTCAAATAATGAGAAAAACTTCCTCTGAAGACTAGATGTCTTCAGAAGACGCTCATCACACAGGCTACTATTTTATGTTTTCATAAATTATCTATGTTACAAAATAATCCCTGTCTTGTTTATGTGTGTCTACAGTGGCAAATGCAATAGAAGAGCACACAACAATGTTCTGAAACATTCTACAAATAAGTGTTCATCATACTAGTCATAGCTTCTCCTAGGCTAGCATACTTATGTGCATTTTTTGGGGAGCAATGGTATACAAAGATTTAGATAGGAAAATGGAAAGAGAGGGGCTGAGCACAACTTGAATTACAAGTGATTGTTTTCTGTTACAGTTAGCAGCTTCTTTAATTCAACCTGGGATCTGTTCTACCTCAGGGCAAGTTATTTCTGATCTTTAAGATGAAGAATGGGTGTGCCTGCCTATAATACAGTATCTTGCTTTTCTGACAGCTTGGCTGCCTCCAGATCACCTGCTTTTCTTTCCCATTGGCCATTCTTCCCTGACCTGTGTATGCCATTCAGTCAGGCAGTTCCTGGGCATTGCTGCTGGAGGATATTTGGCTTGACACAGTTCCATAGGCATGGCTCATAAGGAGTTTAGAATCCAAGTAGCTTATTACTTATATAGCAACAGAGTCCAAATCAACATTGATTCACTCCTACAGGAAGATAGCAAGTCAGAGTGGCCAGACGGCAG